GCTCTTAAAAATCCAGCGTTGGAAAAAAATCATCATTTAATGTGTCAAATTAACGTATCAAAAACTACAAAACAACATAGCAATGACTTGACAAAGTGTAAATTTGTGAAAACACCAGTGGAGAGCTGGAGAAGCAGCAAAACAGCCAGCACGCCAACCAACCAACCATTTAACCAAACCAAAGAGACATCCAGTCAACGACACCAACCAGCCAACCGACCAACTCAACAATAGCTGTCGCGAACTCATGTGATAAATTTTTTAATTGGATTTAAAACTACAATTAAGCTGAATTTCAATTATAAACAAAAATTTTTAAATAACTGTTGTTCCGTATAACGAATTAAGCAAAAATAAACAAAGTATGCAATATCACCAACACACACGCGTAGAGAGAGATACAATTTAACGTATTTATAATACAAATGATTGTGTTGTCTGTATGTGTGTGTGTGTGATTATGAAAATAATAGCATTTATATTATATTATTATTAAATTGTAATGAAAAACGTAATTTGCAACAAAATAAAACTAAAGCGTCAGGGGGGAAAACTGATTTGAATGGCAGGAAAAAACTTTGGTTCAGCATTACAGTTATGGATAATAAAATGGCATTGAAATGTTTATAAATTTTACAAAATAAAGAAAAAAAATGGGAATAAATGAAGCTCAACAAAATAAAAAAAATAAAAATCCAGTCAACATAAAATTCTCGTATTATTAAATATAGAATTTTCCTTATGTATATTTGAATTGATAAATTTTTGCTTAGATATTAGTTAAAAAAAAACAGTAAGGAAAGTAGTAAAGTCGGACGGATAAACTAAAATATGTGATATTTATCTAAATGTGAATCAACATAGATCAATCCATAAGCATGTCATTTGTTTGTTACAATGGGATAAATGTTGGGCCGTTGGGCTATGTGTGTACTTCTAGAAAACTCAACTGCGTTATTCTATGCTCAATTTTGTATGTTGTGCAAAATTTGATGTCAATCTGACAAACACCATTTGCACCGTTTACTTAAAATCGGACGAAAATATATGTGGAATCTATATCCAAATATGAATCGATTTCAACGAAACTTGTCACAGGTTGGGTTATACTAATTTCAGTACGTTTTGTTCCTATCAACCATATATTGGTTCCTTGGTGCGTCAATTACTTAAAATCAATCGATCTATGCAATATAAGAACTTTGGTACATTATTTACATTAAATCTGATGGAAGTATATATATCATAGTCTGAACCGATTTTCACGAAACTCAGCACACATCATTCCAGGCTCAATCCAGTATGCTATACCAAATTTCGTACAACTTTGGCGAATCTTTAACATAAAATCGGACGAAACTATATATGGAAGCTATATCTAAATCTGGACCGATTTTCACAAAACTTGGCATAAAGCCATCTAGGCTCAATTAGTACGTTATGCCACATTTCGTGCAAATCGAAAGTTTTGTATTGACTTTGGTGCATCATTTACATAAAATCGGACGAAACTATATATGAGAGCTATATTTAAATCTGGACCGATTTTCACGAAACGTGACAGACATTACTCTAAGATCAATTCAAATCGTTATACCAAATTTCGTGCAAATCGAAAGATATTTAGAAACTTTGGTGCACCATTTACATAAAATCGGGCGATAATATATATGGGAGCTATATCTAAATCTGGACCGATTTTCACAAAATTTAGTAGACATCACTCTAGGCTCAATTCAGTACGTTATGCCAAGTTTCGTGCAAATCGAAAGATATATAGGGACTTTGGTGCACCATTTACATAAAATCGGACGAAACTATATATGGGAGCCATGTCTAAATCTGGACCGATTTTCACGAAACTTGGCAGACACAACTCTAGGCTCAATTCAGTACGTTTTGCCAAATTTCGTGCAATTCGAAAGATATATAGAGTCTTTGGTGCACCATTTACATGAAATCGGACGAAACTATATACACTCTAAACTATTTGTTGAAAATTCCAATTAAAATCACAGTGATTTTTTGTTTATTTATTTGGAGGTGTTTAATAATAAGCAAATTATTGTTTAATTTTGTAGAAATGCTTAATTTCAAACAGAAAGAATTGCAAAACTAGTAATTACAACAATATGTGTTTGAAATTAAACACATAATGTGGCAATGCCACTTTTTCACAACAAAATGTGTGTAATTTGAAGAAGAAGAAGAACAACAAATTGCAATGAACACGTGGTGACGCTTAGTTGGTTGCGTTGTTTTCGATTAAGCGGTGGTAAATAGTCAAGTGAGAAGTTTGTGTATTTTAACCAATTAAAGAAATAACAAAAAAAAACAAATAAATAAAAATGTATGTTTGTAATGTTTGTGAAAAAATGTTTGAAAATATTGATGAATATAATTTGCATTTGTATATTCATAAAAGCCAAGCCAATTGTGTATTTCGGTGCTTGTTGCCAAAATGCAATAAAGTATACAACAATTATAATTCATATAAATCACATTACAAACGTTGCCACAAAGTGTCAAAAAGATTGCAAAGTAACAAATCAGAAGGCATATATATTTGTTCAGTTAGTGCGTGTAAATATGTTAGTGGGAATTCAAAAGATATATATCGACATGCCTTGCAACATTTCCCATACAATAAAAAAATTAAATGTCCACTAATTCCATGCCGAAAAAACTTTATGTCTCAGGCAACATTTCGATCACACTTCTTTAGGAAGCATGCATTTGTTGGACAAAACGAACAAACCATGCCTCTGGAACAATTAGTTAATGATGTTAATGTAATATCCAAATCAGATAATATTGGAACTAGTCTATGTTTTACGACAATTAGAGACATTAGTCCACACTTGGAAGAATCGGCTATAACAAATATTTTAACAAAATTAAAGTGCAAATTTAATGTATCAGAATACTGTCTTAGTTTTCTATTTACGGAATTGAAGAATATATTTAATAGAGACATTGATTTGAATATTTTAAAAATACAAGAAATAATTGGTAATGGAAATGTAGCTGATAAAGAACACGAAATTTTAAATTGTTTGAAGAACTCAAGCGTGTTAAGGGCCCTTCAAAATATTTCTTCAAAGCACAAAATACAGAAATTCTTTTCAGAAAAACAAAGTTTTGTTGAACCACAAGAAATTTTTCTTGGTGTTGATAACTGTCATCAAGAATGTGTTTTTCACTACGTGCCATTATTAGAAACATTAAAGGCATTATTTAGAGATGAAATGTATTTTGCTATTTTTTCCAAGAAGAAGAAATGTGAAAGTAATTCATATTTTGATTACAATGATGGTATCGTTTATAAAAACCAAGAGTTTTTCAATTCAGATGAAAAGCGAATTGAGTTACTTATATTCCAAGATGCATTTGAAGCATGTAATCCTCTAGGTTCTGCAAAAAAGAAACATAAAATAGTTGGTTTTTATTTCATACTAGGTAATCTTGATATCAAGTATAGGGCTGTAGTAAAAAATATACAATTACTGTTATTGTGCAAAGAACGTTATATAAAAACATTTGGCTTCGATGTTGTTTTGCAGCCACTATTGTCTGATATAAAAAAGTTGGAAACGGAAGGATTGAGTTTTTTTGATAAAAAAAGAGGAATCGAAACAAAATTATTTGGAACTGTTGTTTACGTTATTGGCGATAATCTAGGATCCCATCAAATTGGAGGTTTTAATGAGAATTTTAGTTTCTCACAATATGTTTGCCGTTATTGTTTTTTTGAGAGAAAATCCTTATCTGAAAAAGATACCAGTACAAGCACTCCTCGAAACATTAGCAACTATAATGAGCTCATTTCTTCACAAAATATTAATAAAGGTGTGGTAAGAAATTCAGCTTTAAACAGTCTAAAATATTTTCACGTTTGTAACCCAGGTCTACCGCCCTGCATAGCTCATGACTTGTTTGAGGGAATAATTCCATTCGACTTAATGGCAATTTTACAGTCTTTGAGTGCGACGTACAAATTTTCCTTTGACTATATAAATTCATTTTTACAGTCACTTCAACATACGTTTTTTTTACGGTTGTCTTTTCCAAAAATTAATATAAAAATGAAAAAACTTCCTGGAAAAGCAGACGAAATTAGACATATGTTATTTTTGATGCCGATTGTATTGATGTCAGTTATTACAAATTTCGAAGATCCAATGTATCTTCTTCTCTCTGTTATGATAAATATGTGTCGCATAATTTGCGCAGATAAAATTACAGAATCTCAAAGAGAATTATTACATCATTTTATTGGCAATTACTTTGATATTAGAAATGAATTTCTCCCAAATAATAACCTAAGACCAAAGCATCATTTCTTACGACACTATCCGGACTTTATTAAACAATTTGGCCCACTAAAAAATCTTTGGACAATGCATTTTGAACACAAGCACCAATATTTTAAGAAAATTGCAAAGTCCTGCAGAAATTTTAAAAATATTACGTTGACAATGGCTAAAAAACATCAATGTTTTCAAGCAAGTCTTCATGGTGACCGCTTAGAAATAAATATTTTATGTAAAAATATAAAAACATTAGAAAATAATATGTTCAATATACAAATACCAGATAATTATATATACGTTACCAAAAAAATAACTTTCCTTGGCACTATATATAAGGAAAATGATGTTATATTATCCTCTGTAGATACACTAAGTAACATATATGTCCTACTAATAAAGGCAATATTCATTAATAAAGAATATACCGATTTTATTTGTTATGGAGAAATTAAAAAAATGTGGTACAACAACGTTATAAATTTGTATGAATCATTTGAGAAAATACGCGAAAAAGAATTTTCTATTATAAAAAGTAACCAATTTGTTTTGCCTCAACCTATACATATTTTCAAATTAGATCACAAATATTATTATGCACCACTTTGTACATTTGGAGATATATAACATAAATAATATTAATATATTTACTAATTAGATTTAAGATACAATAATATAATATAAGTAAAAATGGCGAAGTTTCTATGCAAGATATGGAATAAGGATAGATCGAAGAAAAAGGCATTCATGTGCGAAGCATCTATAGATCTGATCATTCAAAAGGGTATATCATTTAATTAATGAAATTTGATCTCAATGATATATTAATTTAATTTTAGCAAAAGGGTACTCTATCGATGGAAACAGATTGGTTATTGAAAGTGACGGAACGGATATAGAAGACGATGAAACGCTGCAATGCATTTTAGAAGAAAAACAAGTTTTAATAATTTTAAACAGCGCAGAAACCTGGAGTCCCGGTAACGTCGTTTCAGATCCCGTACCCCATCATTCAATGACCAACATTGAAAATTCAAGCAGTGCTTTAGATAACAGAACAGCAGTACCTACACAAACATTTCTCAATATGCCATGCACAACCCCAGGATCAACTGACGAAAGTATTTTTATTGCGCTTTCGGAACCGGAAAATATTGGCCAAAATTTTGTGGTAACACCGCAATCTGTCTCCGCAGACACAATTACAATAACATCGGATGAAGAGTTTATTACAATGTTCAGTCCGAGTGATAAACTAAACACAACATTCCAACAAACTCCGACAGATAACAAAAATCGTCCAGATTGCGATAGTTTCCAAAATTTTGAAATACCTTGGAGTAAAATGCCTCACGAAGTTTTAAAGGTCCTAAATAAGAAAGAAAAAATTGGAAAATTAATTAATTCTTTTTGTAACGTAATAGTCGACGAAATACGACAAAAAACTAATTTCATACCAATGAATGTATATAGAAATATTGCTCATATTGCCGCTACTAAATACCCTGATTCATTTGTTGAAAAAGATGGAGAAGGGCGCATTATGTCGTACACACCAATTTCACTTGTTACAACAATGAGAAATCGTAACAATTTTTTAAATTATAGTTCAAAGGCAAAGAAGAGTATAATAGATATACCAATTAAGAAAAGAAAGCATTTAAGCGCCTTGTCTAGAAGCTGTGCCCATTGGCAACCTGACATTTCTGCGGAAAAATGTAATGATGTGGATTATAAAAAACAGATATTAATATCCATGTACCACAAAAAAACTTTACATCAATCAGAGCTAGAGACGGCAAAGACATTGATGTCCAGCTGTTTTGCCACACAGAGAGCATTCTTCAACGATGCCGAAAATATCCCTTCCGTTAAAGATATTTTAAATAACTGGCCAATGATATTTCACAAAGATTGTCTATTTGACCATTTCCAAAAACTGATGGATTTAAATATAAAAATATTTAACGAAAATTTTGAAATATCAAAAAGCAAATTTAATACTTGTTTTAACATTGAACACACTCAAGGCGCCAACGGCATTGTAGAGGCCATATGTAATTATTTTAAGGAAAGAACTACACTGCTATATAAAGAATTTAAGGTAATACTATAATCTAAGCACTCATTTACTTGTCATACTAACGATCACACTTTTTGTTTTAGTTTGGAGCAACGATGGATGATATAAAACGTGAAAACGAATCGGCCACTCCATGGGTTTCCATAATTTGTAAGTTATATCTATATACACTATTAAAAAGATTGTAACTAACTTAAACAATTGTAGGTACATCCCCCACTGGAGATGATGAACAACACATTGCATACATCTGGCTAGAGGGCGAAATTACAAGCATAGAAACTAATAGTAATTTAATCTCTTTAATATTGCAATTACTTTGCTATTATTATATATTTAACATAGAATATCCTAAAGATATATCTCAAAGTTGTGAATTTTTTATGAGATACCTTTTTAAATTTTACCCGTGTCACGTAAGAGGCCAAAAAAAGAATATAAATAACTTAAAGAAAATTATAAGTCTCATAAAAAAACTAGATGACATTAACATATAATAACAGTGCCAATTTTAATAGCATTAATTTATAGAATTAAAAATGTATGAAATGTAAATGAAATATGAATTTTTTTATTTTAATAAAATATTTTTCTTATTTTATCAAAAAATCATTTCATTTAAGACAACTACAAATTACTCATAAATGTGCTTACTTTTGTTGAATGTTGTTGAAAATCGCAACCAAAAATGTGTAACGTTTTAAACACTTTCTGCGTAAAATCTTACAACAACAAAGCTGTTGAAAATTACTACTTTTTGTGCGGCATCTTGTTGCCTATCATTATCATTGTGATTTTCAGCAAAAATAGTTTAGAGTGTATATGGGAGCTATATCTAAATCTTGACCGATTTTCACGAAACTTGACAGACATCATTCTATACATGGACGGACGGACATACGTAAATCGACTCAAAAAATGATTCTATTCTATATATATATATATATATTTAGGCTGATTAAGTCGTTTCATCCCAACGTGCGGCA